GCTCCCAAGTGGAAGAGGACTAAACCAAGAAACCGCTCTTAAACGTCCAGGTGACACACGTTGGGGTTCCCATTATAATACTTTGTTGAGCATTATCTCTATGTTCACTTCTATCATTAAAGTTATTGAAATGATAATTGAAGATGGGGCCAGTGCGGATCAAAGAGGAGAATGCAATTTGTTGCTTGTACAGATGCAATCATTTGATTTCATATTTTGTCTTTTTCTAATGAGACAAATTTTAGGTGTAACGAATGAGTTGTCACTAGCACTGTAGAGGAATGATCAAGATATTGTCAATGCTATGGATTTGGTTAGGGCAAGTAAACAACAACTCCAAAGAATGAGGGAGGAAGAATGCGAATGGGAGAATTTGTTGCAGAAGGTAAATTCTTTTTGTAATAAGCACGACATTAATATTCCGGACATGGATGCTATGTTTGTTGCTCATGGAAAATCTCAGCGTAGGGTTGAGAAGTTAACTGTCTTACATCATTATCGAGTGGATGTCTTTTACTCGGTGATTGATAGACAACTTTCAGATTTGAACGACCGCTTTAATGAGGTTAACACCGAGCTTCTCACTTGTGTTGCAAGCTTGACTCCGGATGATTCATTTTCTGCTTTGACAAGCAAAAGTTACTCCGCCTTGCTAAATTCTATCCGAGAGATTTTTCTGAAAGAGATGTGCTAGCACTTGAAGACAAGCTTGATATCTACATCACTGATATGCGAACGAATACTAATTTTTCTCAACTTAAGGGACTTGGTGGTCTTGGAAAAAAAATGGTGGAGACAAGAAAGCACCTAACTTATGCATTGATCTAGAAGCTTCTAAATTTGGCTTTAGTTCTTCCGGTTGCTACAACTTCAGTGGAAAGAGTATTTTCGGCTATGAATCTCGTGAAGAATCCACTCCGCAATAGAATGGGAGATCAATGGATGAATGATAGTTTACTTGTTTACATTGAGAAAGATGTATTTAATAGCATTAGCAATGATGCTATAATGCATCGATCTCAAAATATGAAATCGCGTCGTGGACAATTACCTTCCCATCATTGACTAAAAGATTGTATTTCTTTTTTTTAATTGAAATGAAATTTTTTAAAAAAAATTAAGTATTTGTTTTTTCATATTGCCCTGGCTGGGAAAAAGTTCTGTATCCGCCGCTGTACAAGAGAGAGAGACAAAGAGAGTGAAAATCTTCCCTTTTGGTTTGTTTTGCTTGTTTTAGCAAGAAAATAATCAAGATATTAATTTCTTAAATCTTACATTTAGAAACCATCGGATTGACATAAACCCGTACGACAGAATGTGTTTGCATGCAATCTAAGGTTGCATATTCAGCTCCTGTTGCAGCTGCTATTGCATTATTGGTCATAATATAGAAAAATAGAACAAATAACATTTTTTTTGCACATTCGAGTTTTAATAATTGTTTCTATTATTCGACTTTTGTGTCGAAAATACGTGCAAGCCGGTGTGTACTTCTAAACTCAGGGGCAAACCCACATAGGGGCCCGCAGGGGCACGTGCCCTTGTGGTATGAGAACTGTCAGTATATATTATATGTATGTAATATATATATTTTGTGTTAAGTTTTCTTGTGATGTAGTATGTAATATATATTTTAATTGTGTTGTCATGTGGACCCAATAGTACAACAAGCCAAATTATTTTATTTTTGTCAGGCCGTATGTCATCTTATATTCTGTTCACATTTATCTTTTTTTACTCCCTCCAGCCCAACTATAAAATTTGGATGCAATTAGTAAAAAATAAATAAATAAATAAAATCCTTCAATACTCACGGCCCACATGCCCGGCGCCGTGAAGGTCGGCCACAAGCTTGTGGCGCAAGCTACCCTCTGGAATGCATAAACGGGACCCGCGAAAAAGAAACCCGTCCGAGAGTATGTAATCCTCGACCGGCCCGCGCGAAAGACGTGTCACGATAGGCCCAAAAACCGCATCCGTCGCGTACAGCTCGCGTAATGTATCAAAGCCGACAACCGCGACTCGCATATCCGACAATAAAAGGGCCCGTCGACTTAATGCATCTGCCACTTTGTTGGACAGCCCCGAACGGTGTCGAATCACAAAAGTGAATTGCTGAAGGAAGGCGGCCCAGGAAGCATGACGAGCAGATATATTGTCCTGCGAAGCCAAATGACGCAACGCCTCATGGTCGGTGAAAAGAATAAATTCCTTATGAAATAGGTAGTGTCG